TGGGTACCGTTGTGTGGATCCGTGGATCCATGTGGCCTGGAAACCGCGTCGTGCAGGTGCTTGGTGAGTTGGGTCGGGGGTGGTTGGCTTCCCGAACACCCGGAAAGCAACGAGAGCCAAGTTACAGGGCATTGAAGCGAACACATAGCCTCTCAATAGCCAAGTCGACTCCACCTCCTCGCAGGTCCCGCTGGAAACCTCTCCCGGTGGTAGAGCCACACCGGAGAGGGCTAACGGAGTATCGGCGCCCGCGATAAAGCGGGTTAAACCAGAGATAACAGTAGGCCGCAGAGCCGGATCCCTCAACTACCAGGAAACACGGTGGGTGATAGCAGCCCAAAGTGCTACATCGTCGTGAAGCTCCACACGACGTTGTTCGAAGGAGCATCAAATAAACATGACAGACACAAATAGAAACAAAGCCTCGGAGGCGGGCGATCTCGTCCCCGCTTCTGGCGAGATCGATTCCGCTGCCTGTGTGGTAAAAGCGCGAAGAGGGGGTGACGGCGTCTGCACAAAGCGAGTCCTACGGACGCCGTCAGAAAGAAAGCGATGGGACCTGCCTGACCAAGATGAGGCACCTGACGAAGCCTCGGAAGGGGAGGGCGCCGGTCCCGTGCCCTCCACGAGCCGACAGGGGACCACAGCTGACAAACCGGCCAAGTCAAAGGAATACGAGATTACAGTACCATTTACAAGGCGCAGCTGCCGTAAGTGTGTGGAGAGCGGCAAAGGAAACTTCAGGGCACTCATCCTCAAAGATGAGATTGAGCATGCCTCTGAGCGCCATAAGAATGAGGTGGTGGTCTTTAAATGTGAGAAATGTGGCAAGAAGTACGATAGGAAGCACCCAGCGCTATGCCACGTACCAAAGTGCACTGCCCCAAGACCACCACCAAATAACGGACATACATGCTCCAAATGCGGACGGGTGTTCGCGACCAAGATAGGCTTGTCGCAACACGAAAGGCACGAACACCCGGACGTTAGAAACGCGGCCCGAGCAGGCGGGACCGCGAGAAAAGAACCGGCACCTCGAAGGCTCAAAATATTTAGCGAAGAAGAGGAGAGGTTGATGCTGGAGCTAGAGGTGCGGTTCAAAGGTGAAAGCAGGATGGCCAGCCTAATGACAGAACATCTTCCCGGAAAAACAAGCAAGCAAATAAGGGACAAGAGAGCGACCGCTTCCTACAAAAGGCAATTGGAAGCAAGGCTGGCCACCCTACAGGAAGAAGAACAGGAAGATGAGGAGGTGGAAGAAGAAGCGGATGAAGAGCAGGAAAATGATGCGCCCGAGGAGGTGGACGAGTTGCCTATCCCTCCCAGGGATCCGCCGCATCAGCAAGAAGAACGGCCCCACGAGATGGACGACGCAGAACCGTCACTCGTGGGAAGAGCCTAGGACTCTCTCACGGATAGGGAATGGAGAGAGGGAATAGCGAAGAAAGTATTAGAAGCCGAGCCACCAAACGCTATTCCACCCGAGGCTGCGGCTTGCGTCCAGCTGCTAAAAGGGGTCCTGGCAAGAATAGCAAACGGCGAAACAATTGACACATATGAATACCGCGTGGTAGACAACAAGGTCCAAGAACTCTTCACGAAAGGGGACGCAGCTGGAAAGGAGAAAAGGAAGAGTAAAAAGAAAACCGGCAGCCGCAAAAGGTTCAGGTACGCCAGGACCCAAGAGTTGTACAGGGAAAATCCAGGCCTTCTAGCCAAGTATGTGAGAGAAAATATCGACTGGACCAAGAACCAGGAAACCAATCTCGAGACAGTTGATATCAAGAACCTGTACAACTTACTCTGGGGCAGTAAACCGAATATCGAAACCCCCAACTTTGGAGATCCGGAACCAGAGAGGATACTGGATGACATACTATCTCCAATTTCCAGAAAAGAGGTCAGAGGCCGGGTCGCACGCACAAAGACAAATGTGGCGACGGGCCCGGACGGGGTTGCAAAGAAGGATGTAACCCCCCCGATATAGAATGGAAATTCTCAGGCTCTGGTTTAATTTAATAATGGTCCGCGAATATCAACCAGAAGCCTGGAGATATAACAGAACGCCGCTGTTAGCCAAGGATGGACAGGACAAAACAAAAGTTACCAACTATCGACCAATTACGATAAGCTCGATTCTGAGTAGATTATTCTGGGGGATAATCGACCAGAAACTAAGAAAAGAAGTGACAATGACGCCCCGTCAGAAGGGCTTTACGACGGATGCAGGATGCTTCAATAACGTACACATCCTAAGTGAGTTGCTAAGGCACTCAAAAATGACTGAAGGCCTGGTCGCAGTGCAGTTGGACGTCTCCAAGGCGTTCGACACAATACCGCACGAAGCCATTGGAGCTGCGCTGCGTAAAAAGGGGCTGCCCGAGTTAGTGGTACGACTCGTGGCGGACTCCTACAAGGATGTGTATACGAACATCAAAAACAAAGAGAGAATAGAAATAAAAATCCAACGCGGGGTCAAGCAGGGAGACCCTCTCTCTCTCCTCTTTTATTCAACTTGGTGATGGAGCCCATGTTGAAAGCGTTGGAAAGTCAGCCTGGGTACACAATCAATAATGATACAAGCGTATCAGTACTGGCATTCGCAGATGACATAATCCTTACGGCTCAAAATGTACCACAAGCCAGTAATCTGCTCAGAAGCGCGGAGACCTACCTAAGGGGGCTAGGTATGAGAGTCTCCGCGGAAAAATGCTCAACATTCATGGTCAAGCCGACCAAAGACTCCTGGTACCTGGCAGATTCCGGGCTGACACTACTAAGTGGAGATGGTATCCCGTACTCGGATGCGGGTACCACAATAAAATACCTGGTTGTGAGAATATCTCCTTGGGCTGGAATAGACATAAAGGGCCTAAAGGATAATCTCTGCTCAGCGCTCCAACGTATCAAAAAGTTGGCGCTGAAACCACCCCAGAAGGTCCAAATCATCTCCACATACCTAGTCCCACACTACCTGTATCAGTTGGTACTGGCGGCGCCACCAGTAACCTATCTTAGGCAATTAGACCAGGAGCTACGGGTAGCGATCAAGGAAATTTACCACTTGCCGCAATCAACAGCCAACGGATTACTATACTGCGGCAAGAGAGACGGGGGACTAGGATTCCCTAAGCTGGAAACTTTGGTGGTGGGTTCCAGCTTACGGGCTGGACTAAAATTCACGGAGTCCGAGGACTCCGTGATGCGAGCTCTAGCGGAGGCTGCAGGCATGGTGAACCGTCTCAAGAGTCTAGCGGCCTCCGCTCGAATAAACTGGCCAACCAATATAGACGCCATCAAAAGGTACAAGGCCAATATGCGCAAACAAGAGCTCGCAGCATGGGCAGCTCTGGTGTCG